ATTCCTGCGACTGAAACATGCACAGTCACCAAGTGAGTCTGTTTTCACAACCTTATGGGGCATTGTACTCTTGCCAGATCTTCTATAAGCGATGCTTTGTTCTTCAGTCTTTCTTGTTCAGGATTCAGAGAGCCTTTTTGAGGTATCCATGTGAACTATTTGTTTCACACCCATGCTGTGAATGTATATATGGACAATCACCCAAAAGATATGTTCCTTAACCTGTAACTTTCTATTTTTGAGATATTTTTATCTACATATATGTATTAACAACTCTTTTTTCCTGTTCTTCTCTGACAAGTTCAAAACTTAGGCTCAATTCTTGGGATCAAAAGATTCCCATTCAATTTTGTTACTGCCTGAACTGCAAGTCAGGGCATGTGGTTGCAATATGCCAGTGTACATACGGCTGGGATAAACTCAGGGCATCAGTATACCTGTGGGCAAATATATAAAAAAGACATTTTGAAGAAGAAGAATAGCAAGTAAGTTGCAGGTAATCTTTTGGGGTGTTCTTCTCCCTCCATCCTGTACAACAATGTTAATACCAACCCTTACATCTATATGTCTGGTGGGTAGGTCTTGTTGATAAATACAGATTATATAAAGGGTGTAAATACAGAATTAGATCCTGGAAAAAAATATCACAGGTTGCAGTGCAAATTATCTTATTTGAGGAGTGCCCTCTATGGAGGTGGGTTGAGTGACCAACAAACCCAACTAATAGCCAACAGACCCTTGAGAGAACTAAATCTGCCCCTGTCCCAGAATTAGGCTGTGAAACAGAACTTTGCTTAATCTTTTTGAAAGGATGCATAATAGACTGGATAATGTGTTTCACATTACCTAGTAGTAATAGGCAGGCAGGATGATGTTAACTACACTATCATTTTCAGCAGTTACATCTATAAGGAGCCTTTTGGAGAATGTGCAGTGGTGAGTACTGCAGGCTGATCTTTATACTTAAACACTTTGGCTCCACTTGGTGAAAAAATCCCGCTGTCTTCACTATAACTTCGTAACTTCACTATAACTTTCTCTTAGACATTTACCTTGTGTGGAATAAAGGTCTTGGTTCTCAAGGAAAGTAGGTCACAAGATTTCTTTTTTTGCTAAATAGTTTATTTTAAGCTTTTGGGGAGTGTGTCAGCATTAATATTTTCCACTCCAAAATCCTCACTTTTCCTCAGTTAAAACCAAGCTCCATCCAGAACATTATGTTTTAGTAGTTCATATCCTAATCTAAAATGTCAATAAAAACCTTGAGTATTTTCCCATAAGAAAAATAATAGCTTTTTAAGATTCTTTTCTTTCACAGGGACAGAACAATTAAAAAGAAGGAAATTTATTCTGACATTTTTAATGAATTGTCAAGAATTTATTGTATTTTCAGTGTATTTCAACAAAATATTTAAGATATTTAAGAAATAATTTAAAATTATTTATGAAATTTTCTCCTTTGTAGTGGTAATTACCCAAGAAAACCATATGTAGAAGGGGGATCATGCACTAATTGTGGAAAAGGGGACACCTGTGAGAATAAATTGTGTAGTAAGTAAAAGCAAATGTAAAATTCCATATATAAAAGAAAATAATAAAACCACCTACTATATCAGCCTGCTTTGTTGCAAGCTTTGTTTTACTCCTTGATGATTCACAAGTAATTTAAAACTATTTTAAAGCCAATTTACATTCAGGAGACAAATAGATGGTTCTCACTTTACTGAACCTGGGCCTCAGTGATCATTATGGAGTCTTCATTTGATTATAGACAACTGTAATTTGTTATTGTAGTGCAATGTATAATTGTTTCTGTTGTAGTCCAGTATTCCAGTGACTTCATTAATCATGCCAAAAAAACCAGCATCTAGCTACATACTTATCAAAGTAGCATTTAGCAGCACTTCTTGAGTAGTCTCATAAGCCTTCACTCACACACTCCATAAGCAGTCACAGTAACTATAAGAAGGTTGTTCTGGGTCTGTGATTCATGCTAGAGTTATAAAAAGAAATTATTCACAGAGGCACATTGTCTTTCACATCTGGTTGTGTCTGTGGCAAAAGGGACTGCACACTGATTTAATTCTGTAGCTGTAGTGTTTTCCCCATGGCCAATAGGATTCCTGCCTTAAACGGGATGATTCTTTTAACTATGTTCTTGTCAAGGAAATGATTTAATGTCATGAATTGCTAAGTATGCATCATGTTTTGATGGAGTGAAACATCAAAAGGCAGGATGACATGTCTGTTCAGAAAGCTCTAGACCTTACAACTTCCACCTACTGGAAAGTCACAAGCTAGAAGTTTTCTGTGGCTAAAGTTAGGACATAAGTTTTAAGGTTTAATTTAACAAACCAAGAGTAAGACTTGTGGTTTCAGCTCAACAGTTAGTTTTTCTGCTCAACAGTTAGTTATTATGTTTACTCTGCTAGTATAGCTTTAAAAGCATTCAGCAATCCTGTATGTGTTAACTTTTAGTTTGCAGACAACTCTGAAAAACAGATACAAGGAATACCAGGTTGTACTTGATTCTAGGATTAGGCCCTACTTAAAAACAGTCTGTCTCCCATTCTCATCCATAAAATTGTATTTGATAGTATTTATTAGCTTGTGTATATTCAGAATATTAAACAGTATTTATTATTTTGAGAAAGACAAAGGAGAGAGGGTTCAAAATTAAAATAAAGGGGCTGTGTAATATGGCCTTCTACCCCATCCATGTAATTGTTATAAATGATAATAATGTAATGGACACATTAATATTCTGAAGTATTGTTCTTAGTTTTTATCAAAACATTTTAACTTCTGGTTTATTTGCAAGTTTTATCAATGTGAATTTTCAAGAGTTTTTCAAATTCTATTGACTGTAAATCTGATGTTTGTTTGAGATAGGTAGTAAAGATTTCAGGAGAGAGAAATCACGGCTGCCTGGTAAAACTCTTTTTTCTCTTTTCCAGGAAATAAAGAACGTGATAAAATTATCTGTATGTATTACAATTTTATACTGCTACTTACATTCCTTGGTTACTTTAAATGCATGTACTCCGAATAAATCTTATTCTTATTTCTAGATTATTCAAGATGGTACCCCCCTTGGGACTACATGATTGTATGTGATGAGGCTTGTCTTGCTCTTGTAGCTTTGAGAATATTGCTGATGCTTCTTGCTTTTGTAGCTGTTTGTTTTTTCAAGAAACGCTTCGCAAGCATGCATATGTCCACCTAACTGGATTTGAAATACATTCAATCTTCTGAAGATACTTGCTGATGTATTAAGCAAAAACATCATACTGACATTGCTTTAAAGACAACTTTATTTGACAGTAATTTTGTTGCTATTATTTTATGCTCCTTAGAAAAAGATAACATACCAAGAATAGTGAAATTACATGTGAGTAAAACCTATTTTGGGAAAATATTAAGCTTGTATTGGGTAAGGTTTGGAGCCTTTTTTTAAATACCAAATTTTGCAAAACCGTGACATACTCTAATCCTTTATTTCAAGGAGAAAAGTATGTGTTAATTAAACAATACTTCTAATTCACACTAAACCAATAGTTGAAATGACAATTGCTTAATATAGAAGCCTAGAGAAAGCTAGCACCATAGTATGTACTAAATCCTGTTTCCTGGAGAGACAGAATGTTCTGAATAAAATGTATAAAGTAAGGTGTTAAAGAAAAATGGTACTTCAGAAGTCTTGATGTTTGTTAAGTTAGTACAACATGGTATTTATTGCTGCTCATTCAAAATGTGAAACTTTAGATGTATTATTATTTTGTTCCTCTAAACGTGCATAATTTTAATATTTTTTATTCCTTGTTTTAATGTGTACTGTTACTTACACATAGCATATTTCCTGTTTTGTGAGTGTTCTGAAGCTTTAATAATAAATTATTTATTTTATCCTGAACCTTGCTCAGTTCACGCATATTTAACACATATTTTACAGCAAGTCTTTCAATAATAAGCTTTACAGTGATGTCTTTCAATAATAAACTTTGATTTCACTTTCTCCAAACTACAGATGACATTTATACAAGAATCTGAAGGGTTTTTTCTTACTAGTATAGCAAACTAGATTTTTTCCTGATTGTGTCTTAGTCTTTTCTAGCGAATGCTAATATGACTGTATGAAAGTTCATAATTATTAGGTAATGTTTCACCATTATTGTAAAATAATAAAAAAAACAAACCACAAATTCTGCTATTTTGTTTACATTCAGAAATCAAATTAAGCTTCTATGGGTTCGACTTTAGGGAAAAAAAGCATTAATATTGAATTGCTGTAAGATACTGCTTTTTTACAAACAAAACCCACCATTTACATTCAGTTATTAAAACATAGGTTTTTCTACTTGGAGCTGTGAGATAACTAGGAATAAATTTGTATCTAACACAGTAATTCCTGTCCCTGAGAATAACTGCCCTTCTTGTCGTTTAGTAACTTGATTGCAGTTAGGACTGTGACAATCAGAGTGTACCTTGAAGAAAAGACAATGCTGAGAAAGATCTCTGCAGTCTCCCAAGGCTTCAGAAAAATCATAGCTCCTACTGGCCATATTTATGCCAAGCTAATAGTAGGCCTTTCATCTGAGACATACTGTTTTTCCTGAGCATTGCAGTGTGGAATTTGCAAAACTGAATGATGTGCAGATGGTGATGCCATCAGGTCCTATTTCAATAAATTAAGTATTTTTCCATCCATGAAAATATTTTTGCATTCTGCTTTCCTGAGCTTGTCTTACTAAGTTTCTGTCCTCAGTTCTGGTTTTTGTCATGTCCACACAAAATACTTACAATTTGTCCCATTTCCCCATTAGTTGTCTTTGGGAGGAAATCTAGGTGTAGCTGAGAAGATAGTTCATTCCAAGATCCCCTTTTTAAAAACAGCATAGATGTGGGCTGTAATGGCTTAGTGTACCTTCTCTCAAGAGATTCTTAAGTATTATTCCATAATATTCCAGTAGTATTCTATCAATTCTTGAACTTCCACATTTTCATGCTGCTGCCATGCACCAACCATTTCTGGTGTTGCCCTGTGAAAACAGGCTTATGATGCACAGCAGAAAAGCTGCCTCATTTTTTCAAAAGCCTTGAATTTAAACAAAGTAAAAAATGTGACACATCATAGTAATTTGAGTTCAAGAGTTTGAAAGCATGTATGAAGGGCAAGGAAAATAACCAGACATCCTCTATAGGTAGGCAAATCCTTGTGCTTTATGAAAAGCTTCTGTTGTATCTGTTGTTGAGATCATGCAAAATCCTTTGTCCTGCACAACCCGGGGAAGCTTTAGCTTCATTGAGGAATCACAGAATGATTGAGGTTGGAAGGGACCTCTGGAGGTCTCTGGTCCAAAGCCCCTGCTTAAGCAGAGCCCCCTAGACCTGGATGCACAAGACCGTGCCCAGACAGCTTCTGAATTTCTCCAAGGATGGAGACTCCACAGCCTCCCTGGGCAATCTGTGGTTGGTCACCCTTGTGGTAAGTAAGTGTTTCCTGATGTTCAGAGGGTATCTCCCTTGTTCCTGTTTGTACCCATTGCTGCTTGTCCTGCATGAGCCTGGTTCTGCCTTCTGTACAGCTCCTTTCAGGTATATATAAAGTTCAGGAGGCTGCTGTCTTCCACAGCATTATCATTGCATAAACATCCCTTCACAATCTTTAGCAGAGCTGTCACCAGAGGGAGGAGCCAGCGTTTCACACTTGCCTTATCCTTCAGTTGAGGGGAGGGAATGAAACAGGTTGAATGTCAAAGTAGATGTGATAAAGGACCATCTTGACTGGCAGGAGGTGAGTGCTGGAGGGAAAAGGACACCTACCAACCTCTTGTGCTTTGGTCCCTGTGCAATTCCAGTACTTCATGGAGGGAAAGCAGTGAGCTGTGCAGTGTGATTTTGTTCAGTTAGGCCAAGGGGAATAGTTGAAGTAAGCAGTACTGTGCAGATCCCTCTCACCAAAATCACAGTGAAACTACGTGCAGTCCACCCACTTACTGATGGCTTCCCCTGTCAATTGTGAGGCTGTTTACAGGCTCATTATTACAAAATAATTACCAAATTTTTTTAGCTTTTAACAAATACAAAATCATTCTTGTGGGAATCCAGTACCACCACCATCCTTTCATTTAATGTTTTCTGCCCTGAGGTGAAATTGTGCAATAGAAGTAGCAACGCATGTCAGAATGTTCAGTTTATTGACAGGTCTGGAAAGCCAAGTGATGTTGCAGCTGCCTTATCCCATGGACAGAACAGCAGATCCAACCTTGTTTGTACAGCTAAACTCAATAAGTCAAATGGATTCTCCCCCCAGCACAAATAACAATCCTCTGTACGGAAGTTGGTGATTCAAGAACAAAATTCAATGTAATTTTACAGATTGCCAGGCATTTTGGATTTCTCTATTAGTCTGTAATCCACCAGGCCTTAGTCCTCTGACTGAACGGTACATTAGAGAAAAGCTAAGAATCTGAGGTCTTATTTTTCAAGCTGAAAACGGCAAGGATGTGAAAGTGAGAAAGGGGGATGCAAATATGGGGATTTTTTCAAAATCGTTGGGCTGAACAGCTTCCTGCCCATATCCAGGTCATTGTCATAAATTTCACTTGAGATGTGTGCAGGGACAGACAATGCTTGTATTGTCCAGAAAAATATAATGTGACATCCAAATCCCAAGGTTTAATTTTCATCTGGTTTATGAGATCCACTGATTAATTTCTGGCAAAGGGTTAGAACTCTGTTTTTTGTGAAAACATCAGTTATAGATGCTTCAGGGCAGAACAGACTTCTGCTTTAATTACAGACAGAATCACTAGATGGAGCCAGCATCATCTCTGCAGGAGAGCATTTTATAACCTGGACTATCCTGGATATATCAACATTGCTGCTTCATAAAGGTCTCAGTTCAGTTTCCAAGCACAGAATTTCAACTCCATGCATATATAAATGCTAGATTACTGCATTGCTAAATTAATGGTGCAGTTTTATTGTGGTGATCGTTTTTGTGCAAATTGAGTGTAGTTGTAATAGAATAATGGCTTTACGTTAAGTGTAGCTGACTAAGGTCTTTACAGTGCATGAGCATTATTTAAAAAGACAAAGAGAAGACCAAGAAAATATATTTTTTTTCTAGTTTCAAGGTAATATTCAGCTGGAGGAAGAATAAATGCTAGTAAACTGGATTCAGGTGGGCTGGGTTTAGAAAAGAGGCAAAGTAGTGAGCAGGACTTCTAAGCTCAGTGTAGATGCTATGGAGAGGGACATTAACCATAATGATCTAAACTACAATACTCTGATCTAAGGATCTTCCCACTGCCTGGTGCTCCTCACACACCCCATACTGCCAGTGGCACCTGGATAGTAGCTTGTGGGCTTTAGGAGTGCACATGGTAGATTGGAGGGTCCTTGTAGCCCAGAAGCAAGCAGCTGTTCTCTGGTAGTACAGAAGGTAATATCACCCACAGGAAGAAACCTCCCTTCCAAGATCCACTTCACCATCCCAGCCTGACCAGCTGTCCCTGATGCCAGCAAGAGGCCATCCTCCTGTACATTTTAAAAGGTCCCACCACAGCTGTGGGCCACATCACCTTTACCAATGCCCACACACAGTTTCCAGGATAGAGCATGACAGCAGAAGAGAACAGAGACTATGTCTGCTAGACAAGGGACCTTGTCACTGTTAGTGGTATATTAGGAGACAGTCAGCAGGTGGATCTAGTCAATGTAGGTGAGATCATGACCATCGCATACATGTTCTAGAGGCAGATGGAGTCATAGCCAACCACTGACAGGAACATGTGAAGCAATTAGAGCTAAAGGCCAATGACTGGGCTGCAAGTGTGACGGCTGCCTTGGACTGGGGTTGCATCAGGATGAGTGTTTCACCTCCTACTTCCTTTTACTTGCCAATGGAGGTGAGAGTTTGAGGCGACTGGTAGTGCCTTATGCATCTTTTCATCAAGGACATGCCTGGACGCAAAGTGTCTTGTCCCCAGGGTTGCTGTGCCCATGGAGAAAGAGAAGATTCCTCCCACTGAATACTTGAGTCCTGTCTCTTTTAAACAACAAATTTGTTAGAGAAAAAACTGGTGATCTTACTAGGAGAGTTTCAAAGCACAGGAAACTATTGTGAAAGAAAAGGGGAAGAAAAGATAATGTTTGTTCATTTCCTTCTGTCTGAGTCTCTTGTGCCTCGCAGAGCTGTCCCTACCTTCATTAAAGTGGTCAACAAATCATGGCTAAGAAGAGGGTGTGGAGCATTAGAAATGTGTGGACATCCATAAACACGTGGACACAGAGAAATATTTAATTATATGCCCCCTCTTAATAGTCTAGATAGGTACACCTCTGATGGTGCTGGAGTGCTACAGCTCTTTTAGCCTACCTGAATTAGGTGTATGAATTGTTAGAAGACTTTCTGAAACAAGTCAAGGGTTTTATTTCGGAGGGAAACTCCATCATGCAGAGAAGGCAATCCCAGAATGATAATTTCCTTGTATGTTCAGAATGATAAGGACTGACCTGCAAAATTGAGCAGGGAATCAGACCCATGAATGTTTACATTTCAACCAGCTTGCAGAACAGTTGGTGAGACAGCACAAATCCCAACACAACCCATCCTGCTGCTCCAAGAAGTGATAAGATGTGGAATGTTACACCAGAAATGCTAACTCTATAGCTGCCCTCCAGGAGCACAGGCAGGTCCTGGAGTGATTTCAGGCTATCAGATAATGGCAAATGGCTAAGGAAGAAGAGAATCTGTGCATACTCAAGCTTGGGATTTCCAAATTGTGCTTTTGTTACACACCAAACCAGGTCAGAAGGTCTGTTCGGCAGCAAGCTGCTGTTCAGGACCTTTTTTGTTTTTCTCCTGCTGAGGTGCACTTTTCCTAATTCTGTTTATTCTCTGAGTAATTCTGAAACAGAAGCAAGGTACCTGCAAAATAATTGTAACTGAGCCGGTATGACTAAGCTATCAGGTAGTTAAATTAGCTGAACTGCAGATTTGTATTTTGTCAAAGCTGCAATTTCTATGGTTGAAGCAGGTTTTAGGAAAGCTGTTCTGCAGCATCCTTCAGATGAGACCTACAAGCTTGGCAGTCCACCAGAATGGAGCACACTCAAAGAAGAGATAGAAGTATACCCTAGAGTGTTGCTTCTTGCTGATTTGCATGACTGACGCCTGTTTCACAGTTTACACTTTGACAGCCAGCTTTGATGTCAGATAAACATATGCCATATGAAGCAATTTTACTTCCTGTTACTTTGACATTTTCAAATGCTTCTGTATCCAGCAGACAACCTCTGAAGAGCTGCTCGCCAGTGTTACCTCCCATTAAGAGATTTTTCTTTTAAAATCTGGAAGAGTACTGAAAGCATGGAAGAATAATGAAAATCACATTTTTCTTTGCTCCATTGGTCTTTCTGGACCTCTTGGCGTGCTGTCGTGCTTATCCACAATATCCCTTGCCTGGCATAGAAGATGCAAAGTTCATTGAAGACTGTGTGAGAGCTCACAACACGTTTCGATCCAAAGTGAACCCACCAGCCAGCAATATGTTGCGCATGGTAAGGAAGCATTGGTGAACTCTTTGAAAATCAATATAGATTGTGCTGCTGATTTAGACCATCTTACTCTTCATTTACTTTTCTTTCCCTTTCAATTATTTCTGTTCTAGATATGTTAGTTCTGTGTAGAAAATAGGCATTAATTTTCACAGTTTTGTTCAATTTCCATAATTGGAAGGGAAGTCTTTGGGGTGGGATTGGTAGTAATCTGTTATATGTTAGTCCAGGGTTCATTCAGGGAAGCTGCTTGATATTAAAAGGCTCCTGAATAGGCAATCTGCACAAAAGGATTTGTTGAAAATCTATCATCTCCCCTTGTTTCTTCCAGTTTAGAACATGTGTTGAAGAAAGAGATTTGCCAGGACATCCATTTATATACCTTATCTTCATTTGCTGTAGCAAGGTTTGAAAAGCAGACATACTAATATCTGGGCTGCAAAGCAGAGCTTCCTGTAAATATTATGGATAGCAGAATAGGCCATGAATAGGTCTCATCTGTTTTGGTGGAGTACAAAAGGAAAAAGGTAGGTAGATAGCTGAGGGAGGTAACCCCAGTCAGCTCATGTCATAACTCTGAGCCCTCCAGCAGTGCTGCCTCTCTGGACAGGAGGTTAAAACCATAAATCACATGCACAGTATAAATCATTTATATGAGAGGAAATTCATAGTAAAGGGGTAAAATTCTGACTAGTGATTTTAATTTCTTGCTGTTTTAAACATTTCATTTTAAATGCTAGCACACAAGAACAAATAAGCGGCTTGGACCAAATATCCAGCAAGTTTGGAATAGCAGCAGATGTATAGAAACCTCTGGAATCAAAGACGTTGCATCATATTTAAATGCACTTGATAGACTTTTCTTGTATGATTTTTCTTCAGCCTTGAGCTCATCTAAGTTTTTATTGTCCCTAGCATCGTGTAGCAAAGAGCTGCAGAGCCTAACCACAAGTTGTGAGAAGATACCTCCTTGCATTTGATTTAGACCTGTTAATTCCTAGCTTCCTTTGGTAGTCTCTGGGTTTTGTATTGGAAGGAGCAAATAATCATTGCTTATTTACCTGCTTCACCCGGGATGTCCAGCTGTCTCTGATGAGAGCTGCAGAGCACTCACTTTTGCTTTATGAAAACCCTCAATACTTGAGGATGGGCATCCTCCTCCATGTTCTCTCTGTCTTTTCCGTGTCTAGTGTCCTCTTCTTAAGATGGAGTGCTGTGCTGCACACAGCATTTAACAGGACTTACACAATGGTGTAATTATATATCTGGTTTTCTCCATTCCTTCTCAAAGAATTTCTAACATTTTACTTGCTTTTTAGACTACTACTAAACATTGGCTTACAAGCAGAAGTTGCCATCTCCAATCCCATCATCATGAACACAAAGTCAAAGTTGTGTTTTGTTTTGTTTTTTTCTCAAATCCCTTAACTTACATTTTTCCTGTCATTTTATTGCCTGGTCTTTCAGTGGCATAAAATCTTTTTGCTAGTCTCCTAAGGCTCTGAAATAATCACCTGTGTCAGTCAGGAGAGGCATGGTTCTTCCTCAGCCCAACAGAGATGAGAGAGCCTTTTATTTCTTTGGCCACACATTGAGAAGGCAGAAGAGGATGGGGAAGGGAGCAGCTGTGACCCCTCTCCATCCTGGCCAGCAGAACGGAATTCCTACCTGGTCTAGTGATAACTGCAAAGTGCAAATCCCCGGACAGCAAACAGCTTCTAGGCACAAAGTCCCGCAAGCCCCTCTGAATCTGGGAATTTCACCCAGTTACCTCCTTTTGGGTACAGCAGGTTAGAGACTGCAGCCCAGCTCTGCATAGAATCATAGATTTGTAGAATGGTTTGGGTTGGAAGGGACCTTAAAGATCATCTAGTTTGAACCCCACTGCATGGGCTGGGACACCTCCCACTAGACCAGGTTGGTCAAAGCCCCATCCAGCCTGGCCTTGAGCACTTCTAGGGAAGGGAACAACCTCCCTGGGCAACCTGTAAACCTGTATTTTAACAAGTTAGATACCACGGGACAGTGGATAGATAGTACATGTCCTGCAATACACAGAGGATAAAAAAAGAAAAAAATAAAAATGTTATGGGAGTAGAAGTGTCAAGTCAGAGAATGAAACTGAATGCAGGGATGGGAAGCAGAAAAGGGGAAAATAATCCTTTCAAGTTTCTGTTATAAATTGTTTGAATTCAGCTAAACAACTGCAGTGCAGGTTATATTCTGTTTTCTTCCTTTTCTACAGTCCTGGGATGCTGCCTTAGCTAAGACTGCCAAAGCGTGGGCAAAGAAGTGCAAGTTTAAGCACAATATCTACCTTAAAATGCCAGGGAAGGTGCACCCCAGCTTTACCCCTGTTGGAGAAAACATTTGGACTGGCACAGCAACCATTTTCTCTGTAGATGCAGCTGTCAGTGACTGGTTTAATGAGGCCAGCAGCTATGATTTCAACACACATAGATGTACTGGCATGTGTGGTCACTACACCCAGGTGAGTCTTATGTACCCGGTGGTTCATGGTGTAATGGTTTCATGGAAAATCCAAGCAGAGGCTTGGAATAAACTGCTTTGAAACATGAATTACAGCAGTGGTTTTCACCCACCAGTTTATTGCTGCGTGGTATTGGAAAGAAATGCTCCGAGCCAAAGGGATATCCAAGTCCTCTTTCCAGTAATGGCAGAAAGGGATTAAGCCTTGAAAAAATCATGGGTTTGGAGGAGCCATGTAATAAATACAAAAACATCTATCAATCAGTCATTTGTACCAGCTGCCCTTTGGGTTGCTCCTGTGACAACTGTTTTAAACTTCCACAAGATCCTTCCTTTCTTCTTCCTGCCTTAATGCTTTTGATTTTTCAGTCTTTGAACAGGTGTATTACACATTTCCTTTTGCCCTTCAGGTCGTTTGGGCAGAGAGTTACAAAGTTGGCTGCGCAGTTCACTTCTGCAATACAGTTGAAAATTTTCCAGGACTATTGAGAGCAGCACATTTTGTTTGTGACTATGGGCCAGCGTAAGTTAATTATGGCATTTGTGGGTTTCCTTTATTTTTTAAATATCCTATAACTGACCTGGTATCAGATGCCAACAATGATGGGAGTAGTTGTAACGAATTTCAGAAGAAGCTACATACACACATCACCAGACCAAGGAAAACTTCCTCTGGCCATTGAGAGCAGAATCTGTTGGACATGGCTGGAGCTGCATAAAATCCCCTTCTTGAAAAAGCAGATGAGCACATCACAGCTGAGATCTGTTTTGACTTCATTCGCTGCAGGAAAAGTGGGGAATGTGCAAGCTTACTGCTTGAGAAAGATTGTATCTTTCTGTGGTCCCACCCAAACTTCAAACAAGGTATTTTAATTGAACAAAATAAAAGGAAGATAGTCCTCTAGTCTATCTTGCACCTTAACAATTTCTGAACTTTACTTTTACAGATTTGTTTTTAATATAAATACAGGTGGATAATGAGGGACTAAAGGCAGATTCTTCTACAATTGCACTGTGTAATACAGTATTGCTTGAGAAGTCTCATTAATTTATAGGGCAAGAGTCATCAGGGAGCTGCTCGCCTCGGGCAGTGAGAGCTTTAATCTAAACTAAAAGGTATTTCAAACAATGGCAATGATCAGTTTTGGAAAAGGGATTTTCTCCCTCCCCCACACACCTCCCCCCAAGTAGCTTTTCATTCTAACAACCTGATTTAAATTGCTTTTCAAACAACCAAGCTAACAAAATACTCTTCTGCTTTGCAGGGGGAATTACCCAAGAAAACCATATAAAGCAGGTCAACCATGCAGTGGATGCAGTAATGAGAAGTGTGTAGACAAGCTCTGTGGTAAGACCAAACTGATCAACTGAGAAAATTGCATAGAAATAAAAGTGGCATAATTATCAGTGGAAATATGATTAGTCAGTTTGTACCACGTACATAGTGGGTCTGTAGCCCACCACACAGGAACAGTATGAAACCCAGATAAGAACAGTATAAGAAGGAATTAATTGAAATACTTTGCTGTTGAAGGCTCTCAGAGGTAGAAACCAGAGTGTCTAGTGAAGAGAAATACCACTTAGACTGTTTTCCACTTTTAGTTGGTCAGGAAGTCAAATCTAAAACTTTAGCCCCCCAAAACATTCCCTTTTTGGTTCTTCTTTTTTAGCAGAAATTGTATATTTGACTTCTGCTTTCTTGCTTGTTTAGTATTGTCCTATCACATTTTCCAGACAACTAGAGTTGAAAAGTACACTTACAAATAACTTCCACAGCTTTCTGAAATACAGCAGTGAGAGCTTGTTTTTCCACAGCAGTTTGCAGCTTTGGACCTTTATGTCACTACACATAGTCCCAAATTAGTCAGAAATAGTGTTTTAAATAAACAGAGATTAAAAGATATGCAACAATGTCTCTGTAACTAGTTAAATTTGGGGGTTGTATCAATTTTAAATACATCCCATGTTTTGTTTTTATTTGTTATTCCTTCTTCCCTATGACATAAACTCTTCCCAACACTGCTGCTTCTTTTCTGTTTCTCTTTCAATTCAATTTTTTTTAAAAAAAGGGAAAAAAAAAGAAAAAATTGAGCCTCAGGTGGGTTGGGAAGCTGCCTGTTTGACCAGCTTCCCCCTTGCAGGATGTTTGAGGCACTGACTGACATTGTCACTGCAGTCAGCAAGGCACCAGCAATGTTTACCTCTTTACATTGAGAACCACCACTGAATGATACATTTATTTCCTCTTCTGATCTCTTTACAGAAAATACAGAACGTGAGAAGCTGATAAGTATGTATCAAATTGTTCTTAATTACTTTGTTGTAAGTATGGCAAAGTTTGATGGGTGCAGAGTCCTGCACCTGGGAAGGAACAACAAAATGCACCAGTACAGGTTAGGAGGTGATCCACTAGAGAGCAGCTCCATTGAGAAGGACCTTGGAGTCCTGGTAGACAACAAGTTATGTTGATGTTATGACAAGTTATGACAGCAATGTGCCTTTGTGGCCAAGAAGGCCAATGGTATCTTGTGGTGTGTTAAGAAGAGCATCTTCAGCAGATGTCTCCTCCTTCTCTGCTTGGACATGGTGAGACCTCCTTGGAGTATTGTGTCCAGTTCTGGGCTCCCCAATTCAAGAGGGACAGGGATCTACTGTCCAGCAGAGGGCTACGAGGATGATTAAGGGACTGGAACACCTGCCTAATGGGGAAAGGCTGAAAGACCTGGGACTTTTCAGTCTAGAGAGAAGACTAAGGGGGGATCTAGTTAATGCCTATAAATACATGAAGGGAAGTTCCACCTCAACATGAGGAAGAACTTCTTTAGTGTGAAGGTTACAGAGCAGTGGAACAGGCTCCCCAGAGAGTTTGTGGAGTCTAGTTCTCTGGAGACTTACAAGACCTGTCTGAATGCCTTTCTGAGTGATCTAGTTTCTGGTCCTGTTCTGGCAGGCGGGGTTGGACTTGATGATTTTTGGAAGTCCTTAACATTCTGTGATTCTGTGTAAAAACCTGATTCTTCATTCTTTTTTAGATTATGCCTACTGGTATCCAGACTGGGATACACGGCCCCAGCCACCACGGCCACGTCCCCCTAAACCTCCTGCGCCACCTCACATCCCACCTGCTGAGCATCCACATCCCTCTTGTGACCAATACTGCCTCAGTGTTTCCATTTTAAGGCCACTGGTTTTGGTGCTGAGTATTGCTGCTGTTCTTTTAGTACAACAGCGGTATCCACACAGGTTTTTTTATGAGTAATGATCAATTAAGATACTGATAGTGATCCCACCACTGTATTACTCTCAGAGAATTGCACACTTTCTTTTTTTATTAAAAAAAAAAAAAAGCACGTAATCATCTCTTCATTATCCTTGTGGTGTTTATCCAGCATAAAAAAAGGCTGCTTCTTCACTCACGGCAACATTCAAATGGCTGTGCAGAGAGTTAGTATTAATTTATTGGCAGTAGCTGCAACATGCTTCTCTGCCTGTATGGGTCTCTTACCTCTGGCTTAAGGGCAGATTGCTAGAGGAACCATGAAAACTATACATTGCTACATATGCTAAGAAGCCTCTTGAAAACCTGGGGCAGCCCAAAGACATGTCTGAAGCAGCACACTGTATACAAAAGAAGCAATAACTCAACTCCATTAACCTTCAGTTATCCCAGACTTTGTTTTCCCCAGATAATGGAGATTTAACTGTATGTGTTACTTTTTATGAACAGGAGTAAACCTTGTTTTTTACTATATTTAGCCTATGTGTATCTGTCTCCATTGAAGTTATTCTCTTGTCAGTTGTACTATTCTGTTCTCCTCTCAGAGCTAAACTTTGTCCTCCATAGCTAGATGAACACCAGGGAAAGCTGGGAGTGCAGGGCTTAAGATAGGTTGTCAGTGGGGAAAGTTTAATTTTATGATGTGAGACAGTGACAAAATCTGAAATGCAGAGTAGATTACAGCCATCCTGAGCTTGCAGGCAGGGAAATGGGGGCAGCAGGGAGGAAAAACAGGAGAGGGAAGATGAAATGGGCAGAGGACAGATTCGGGTTCAGAAATGGAAGATCTCAGTCTCATTAAAAGAACCCAAACCGTGGATGGATTCAGTTTGGTTTTAGAGACATTTAACTCTCCACCCCTATTGTTCCTACATACATTCATTAGCAAGGGAAACAAACCTGTCTTTCAAGCTGAGGGTTACTGGCTGATACCAGGAATGCATAACTGTGCCATCAATATTTAAGGCTTTGTTACAGACCTAATGTTTTGAGAACACAGTGAGTCAAATTCTGAGCTACACTGCAGCTCTGAAGGAGCATAGCATCTCACAGAAAAAAAATGTTTGGGCTTTTGTCATATGCTGCAATATGTCACTGTGTAAGAAGATACATATTTAACGTCATAATTGTCAGTTCTTGTCTGCTGCTGTCTTTTATATGTAGCAACAGCAAGTAGGCTCAAGGTGGGCAAGTGGTTGGGAGGGGACACTGCTGGGACAGCTGACCTGAATTGACCAAAGAGATATTTTATTCCATATAACATTGTGTTTAGAAAAAAACAAACAACAACAGCAACCAAACAAACTAGAGGAAGAAGAAAAGTGGGGGCTGGCTTCCAGGGTGTCCACCACTCAGGGACTGTCTGGGCATCAGCCCGCCATTGAGAGTGGTGAATGATTGTGTTTGCAGCACTTGAGGGGTTTGTTTTTTTTCCCTGTTCTCTTCCCACACATATTAAGCTGTCATTATTCTGATCCATGATTTTTCTTGCTTTTCCTCTTCCTGTTTTCTCCCCCCCTCCTGATGGGTCAGGTGGAGTGAGTAAGCAGCAGCAGGAGCCAACCCACCACATTATTCTGCTTTAAAAACCTGTCTGTGGGGTAGATGTGAACACAGTGTTTCTCATCCATGATTCCCTCAGAGGGCCTTTTCACCTGTAAGCAGTCTTCCCATGAATACCTGGAAGTGTGTGACCCACAGGACCTAATGTGTGCTGGTGGGGTTGCTGTTGCTGGCTCACAGCGTGACCCCAGACAACCAACCTGAATGTGGCTTTGCCGTCAGCCCCAACATCTACAGGAGTGCATGCCCAGAAGTGATAACTGGGACCTAAGGATGTTCAAAAAGACTCAAGTTCAAAGGATGCAGATTCCTAAACCAAAACCCAGAGTGGGAAGAAACCCAAACTCATTCCTGCAGAGATGTCCAGGCTGGGACTGTGGAAAAGGGCCTGAGCTTGTTGGACAGGTGATAGTTCAGGGCAGGGTAAGGAAGAGGGTGGTGCTGGTGGTGGGTCTGAGCAGGGAGCGTTGGGTACTCAAGGCAATGTGCATGGCTCCTAACCCCTGGCTGTGGAGCCCAGTGTGGTTGCAGCACTAAAATTCATAGTACCCAGCCCTGGCTGGGGGCTTGGCTTGCAGGAAGTGAATTACGAATTCCTAAAGCTTGGGAGGAGAAATTGATAGCAACACAAAGCACACAGGAGAAACCCATCAATAATTGCCACATATTTAAAGTGCAGTTCTCAGCCAGTTACCCCTTCAATAACTCAATGTACGATCAAAGTGACTGTTCATAGTGTAAAAGTCATAGTTCAAATAAATTATTTCTCACTGCATTTGGATACAGAGTAACAGCCTTAACAGAGCTGCTATTTTCATGAAAATCAGAAAATTCATCCAAAACTTTATGGCAATCCAGAGTGATTGCTATGGATGGAATGGTGGGGAGAAAAGAAACAAAAACTGAGAAGCCCAAAGGACAGAAGAGAAGCATCTTGCCCACCAGAATAAGACAAAGAAAAAAAGACAAAACTGTCACAGTTCTTGTACTTGTAGCTTGATTTCCTTATTCTCATAGCAACGCTCTTTAGATATGACTCACTTCCTCTGACCAATGCTGTATTCAATTACCATGGCTAAGAAAGTCCAGCCCACAAGCCTCCCAGACAAAACGCTGCAGTGGTGCTAAAACCACCTCACACAGCTGAAGCACTCTGCTCTGGAAGCTGGAAGACCAAGGGCTGAGAATCATGACAAGCAGATTTTCTGCTTGTGTGCTGGCTTTACTGCACTTCTGTCATTCCTCTGACTCCTATGAAGTGTCGACACTGCCTGATATTGGAGATCCAAAGTTTATTGAGGAATGTGTGCAAACCCATAACAGATTCCGGTCTGGAGTGAATCCACCAGCCAGCAACATGCTCTACATGGTAAGGGGATCTTTACAACTTACATGCAAGCGTGCAGCATTGTGATGGTGTTTACAATTTTCAAAGATTGCTTTCGGGATCAAATTAAAAAAAAAAAAAAAAAAAAGAAAAAGAGAAAATATTTCAAAAAACAACCTCCTGGGCTCATAGGAGCTACTTCTTTTTCAAGCAGAAAAAAAGGCTCTGATTATCATATGGCTTTGTAAGATTGAGTACATGTATAGTTTTGTCTGTCTTAACTTCCTTATTTGAAACCCAAGATTTCAATCCTCAACCTAATGATGTGCTTTTGTGCTGTGTAAAGCCTCCTCATTCCAAGGCACCACAGCTCAGCAGCCTGGGGTGTAATTTATGGGCAGACCTCAGCACAACCTTTCATACTTGAGCCAGCAAGCACAGAGACTGTTGCCAAATGATGTTGGAGAGCTTTCTCCAAGCTTTCTTTGCAAAGCTCTCACAGACTGAGCCAACAGAACAGCTGTTCCTTGGTGCTGGGGCTTCAGGGGAAGCCAAAGAGCAACAAGTGCAGCTGGAAGCATCAGGTCCCACGTCACTCTATCCCCTCACTGCTCCCTGGCCACATCAGGGGGCAATACCTGCAGGCACGGCACAAAAGACAGCCTGTCATGAATCAACATATACCCAAAATGGCCACCTCTCATTTCAGATGGCTCATGATATGTGTCTCCCTTTGGGGTGGCACGTGGAAAATCCAGTGAGGACGAAGCTGTAAATGTGTGCACAAAGCTTATGGCTGAGGAGCCCATCTCTGATCTGTGAGAGGCTCAATTCCAGTAGCCTGGGAACTGTCCCTTGCAACATCCATCACCTTTTGTGGTTTGATTGGGTAATACTTGAGATACCTTTTTTCTTCTTGGGACAATCTGTGCAGATCTCTCAGATCCACCATAGCAATCATCTTAATTCTGATATTTTGCCTTTGGCTCTGCTTTCTTGACATCTTGCATGGTGACCACCAGAAGAGGACATAAGCATGTCTGTAATTAGCAACACACCAACCAAAGCTCAAAAAAAAAACCAACAACCAAAGTTTGGAGAGGAAAAAAAAAAAAAAAAAAAGAAAGAAAGAAGAAAAAAGCTCAATTTCCATTTCTGGTTATCAAACACTAAAAAGGAAGTGCACGCTAGGAAGGGGTAAGTGAGCAACCAGCAAGCTTGAGTTGAAAGCATGACAGGAAACAATTTAGTTTCTCTTCTAGCTGTGTCTTGTTACTTCAGCTTTCTTAGCTGGGCATCCTGAATGCCCAGTATGTATTGCTCCAGATTCTGTTTTCTGGATTTTTCTACTGGCCTTGCAGCAAGAAAATCTTGATGTGGTATATTAAAAGAGCAATATTCTTCTTTTTAAATTGTGTCTAATTTTTCCTTTTGAAAAATTAAAGAACTGATTTTTTATTATTTTTTTTTTTGTGCTTAAGAAACACATTTAGGTTATTAAAAATAAAACAGGAACTAAATCAGGGTACGTTTCTTTAAAAACACTGTAGAACCTTAAGTAGGACCTGTCCCAGGAAGAATTTTGTGTGGAAAAGCCCTAAGTTTACCTTTAATATTCAATACACTGATTTCCTAGGTAAATGTTATGTGTCAGTTTTGTGGGAAAATACAGCCCACTCCCCTATCCCAGTGTTATGCATAGGAAGAAATTAAAGATACAGGTTACAAAGTATTTTTAAAACTTTGTAGATGTATTTTGGTATGATCTTGCAATTTCTCACTTCTTATTGGCAGCAAAGACTACACAAATTATTTCAGACTCATGTATGTTACAAGAAGTTACATTATGTAAAACATGGCCATAAAAATCTAACAGCCACCTTTTCCTTAGTCCCTGGTACTGACCCATTCAAAACAATTTCTCTAGGGATTCTATCATTTGTAGAAACAATGGAGATATTTGAATCCATGTAGAGAAGAACAAATGAAAAAGTTTTGTGTTGTTGTTTTTTTAAAAGTTCAACCCAAAATAATTCAGCAGTGCTGAACAACTTCTTTTACATGAAACAAAGTGTAACTACAACTACAGGCA